ATGTAGACCAGAGGCAGCGCCACATCATCATGCAATGTAGACCAGAGGCAGCGCCACATCATCATGCAATGTAGACCAGAGGCAGCGCCACATCAGCATGTACTGTAGACAAGTGGCCTGCACCACGTCATCCTAGAAGACAGGTGGCAGCGCCACGTCAGCAAAGCCTGGCGCACAAAGCAAAAAACGCCAGCATGCTGTCTCACTTGCGTCGTCGTCCACAGTGCATGCGCATAGCCAGCGCCCAGCCACCGTCTCGCCAACGTCTAGTCAAAGTCGAGCCAGCGTCCAAGCAGCATGGCAAGACTGAATATTGACCAACTCGAGGCCAGCCTTTAAGTAGCATTTGACGAGGCTGTCTGGCCTCGAGTCCTGTTCCCTCAGTCGTCCAGATTGCGTCACAGCCGAGGGCCCCGATTGTGTACAGTTGCAGACTCCCCCTTGGACCTCATGTTGTCTAGGTACCTGCATACAAACGTCAACAATCTATACTCAATGTGCCATGTCAGCGCCCTGTACTCAGTATGACATGTGGACGATGTAGAAGAAGCCTCTCGCAGATAAATGATCCTCCCACAACGAGCAGAATCGGCAGTAGCTTTACATCTGAAGAAATCAGTTAAGTACGCACGACAACTCGCATTACCCTTACCCTTTCTCTCTCTCTCCTCATTCCCTCGTCGTCATGTATAGTCTCGGCTTTGGCCTCCCTCTCCCTCTCTCTATACTACTATGGTATCTGGCAGACGCCCATGAAGCAGCCTCACGCCAGCACTCCCTCTCAAGTCTCACGCCAGCGTCGTAGCCGCAAGCAACTCGGAAGACTGAATGCCCAAGCGGTGGTGATGTCAAGTTGATATAGTGTTGACTCGTCTGTCCAGGGTCAGCGTCGGTCCATGTGAGGCCCCGGATCATCTGATTTGTCCTAGTTTCGGTTTGGACTCGTTGAGGTCTGAATCTTTCGGAACCTGCAAACCACAGTTGTCCGAAAAATCAATATTGCGATGCACGTAGCAACAACGAACTTGACAGAGCAAGGGATGGAGACACTCACACGATTGCGAGTGAAACTCGGGAATTAAGACATCATAGCAAACTTGTACAATGAAGACACGAGAGACGAACTGACGCAGACAGTTAATGATTTCAGCCTGCTTATTATCGAAAAAGAATGGTTGAACGATGACATAGTTAATTTTTATGTTAACCTCGTCCGACTAGACAATGAGTATCGTGTGAATCACTTAGACTGCGACTCCAAGAACGATAATGTGGACAGGACAGGAAGAAGTCGCATCCCTAGGACAACAATTCTCAGTTCATTCTTTTTCGCCAGACTATTCGATAACAACATAAAGTTTCTATACGATTCATTTCGTACATGGTTCACGTAGGTTGTCATCAGTGACATGGACTGAATTATCGCGCCACTCCACGTCGCACAAAACCAACATTGGATACTCGTAGTGGCAGACTTGAGACGTAGTAAATTTGAGTACCACAGCTCGATGACACCGGATGTTGAACTTGCAAAAAAGGTGACCGGGGGGTTTGCAAAGTTTTGTACATGAGATCGAAGGAACAAGGCAAAGAGATTGACACCAAACCGTTCAATCATACATGGTTAGTGAAAGGCATCCCAAAGCAACACGACTTGGATAAGTACGGGGTGTTTATGCTCACATATGCATCGTTGTTGGCTAGAGGTTGTCAGCCACCATTCACCTTCTCATCTGATGACGTTAAGAAGCTATGATGCTGAATTGCATTCGATGTTGTTGTGGAGTAGATAAATAGTATAATGTGCTTTAATGCGCCGGTTATAATGGTTATTCAAGTATACGAGATGACCATGTTGTGACCAGAAATAGAGAGGACCTATATATGCATCACTATTGGTGAGAGTGTGGTGTGTTTATTCTCATATATCCATAACTATTGGACTCAACAGGTTTCTGCCACGGTGCCACCATTCACATTCACATCAGATGACACTAAGAGACTACGATGCCGAATAACTTTCGATGTATCTGTTGTTGAGTAGTTATACGAGTCGGTCATAATAGTCGTCCAAACATATGAGAGGATCATGCAGTGAACACAAGTATAGGTGATAATAGGAGAAAATGAGCTTGCAAGAGTATTGAGGATTAATTATGCGGTAAAAAAAAATGTAATTGGTCGTGCAAGACAAACATCTTATGAAAAGAATGCAACGCTGAAATGAAAGAAAAAAACGGTAAATGAAGGAATGATATATAGAGGCAAGACATGAGTATATGACAATCCCACATACATCAACCAAAACCCTCACCCCCTTATCCCTTACCCCTTACCCCATACACCCTTACACCTAACCCCTGACCCCCTTAGCCC